TCAGCAAATATTGAATACTGAAGAAAAATATTATCTTTTAAAAATAATGTTATCTGCTTATTCTTTGGCTGTAATGTAGCTGGCACGCTGCATTTGGGGCTGTCTATGTGTGTTTTTTAAAATGTCATCTTTATTAGTATTACATTCAAAGAATAGTACCAAGAATCAGTTTCTTTCAAGACCTTCCCCCAGTGTGTGGCATATAAGTCTGTGACAAGCGACATTACAGAAGGTCATGTCACTTTTAACTGCTTGCATTACATCTTTCTGATTTCCCTAGTGCCCTTCCTTTGTTTGATTAATACTACTTGCTTTCAAGCAAGGTATCAGAAAGCATAATTTGGAAAAAGGATTCTAGAGTCAATCTTAGAGATTTCCCTTTAAGAAAAAAGAAAAAAAAAGCCCAACTTTTTAAGTGTATCTTTTCTAACACTTGCATTTTTGTCACTCTTTTCATTTTTTCCCATAGGAGAGCTTCTCTCTCTCTCTCTCTCTCTCTCTCTCTCTCTCTCTCTCTCTCTCTCTCACACACACACACACACACACACACACACACACACACTCTCTCTGTCTCTCTCTGTCCTTCTGTCTGTCTGTCTATGGGTGTGTGTGTGTGTGTGTGTATGTGTGATTAAATTGTTGCTGACTGCTGACAAATGTTTGGGCAACTGGACTTTGAATACTCGAAAACAAAACTGTGTAGTGCTTACTTTGTTTTATTTGAAGAGGAAAGAACTGGGATTTGAGATGTGGACTCCTGTATTTTATTTGTTTTCCTTAGTTAAGTGCTAAAACTCCAGTACTCTTTTTAAATAGCAGGTGTTGTTTGAGTTCTCTGGGAAGGTTGCAATTTTGTGCAGTCATTATGTGCTTTGATGATACATACAGTTTGCTTTTAAAAGCTCAGTTTGCAGTTTCTGCACTCATTACATTTGGCTGGAGCTTGTATTTTAAAGTGCAGCTCGGCTTATAAGATACACATACCAGCAGAGTCGTCCATTTCACTGGGCCACTGAACTCTGAAAATTAGATATGAATGCATCATCACTTTAATTTAGAATCTTCATCTATGCTTCTACTATATCCCAAATGTGTATTTCTTAGTGTCGTTAAAACACATGAATCAGAATTTTATATCATTCAGAACACAGAATATTTAATCCAGAAAAAAAGTGTGTAATTCAGTTTCCAAAATCTAATGTTGAAAATACTATATTGATGTTTTGCTTCTAGCACTATCTAACATTTTGTTACAGGAACTGTGCAAAGACTTTACATATATAATTTCACTGGGTCCTTAATCAGCACTGGGGATAGGAGCTATTGTCATCTCCATTTTTCAGGGCATTTTAAGCTTCACCTGAACAAGTACTAGTGGGGTACATTCTGGAGTGGTGTGAAGACATCAATAAGAAGCCATCTGTGTTATAAATCCTCATGTGTAAATGCCTGTGATATAACATTCAAAAGGCAATAGAGGAAGGGAGAGCCCTGGCTAGCACACAACACAAAGGCCTCTTGCAACACAACCCTTTCCTGCCAAATGTAGAAGCAAATGGTTGTACTGGATGGTTCTGGTTGCACATTTGTAGAGTAATTATGTGGAGCCAATTACTTACTTGTGCCAGGTAAGAACAGTTTGGGTTCTGCAAATGAAGAACCTGATTCTGTAGACCTCTTTGAGTCAGTCATACTTGAACATAAGATCATTTGTAAAAGGTATAAATTAGGCTAGTGGTTTGTTTTAGTATTCAATGATATTATGACATTTTAGAAATTAATTTGCTAGTGGTGATCCCATGATCTTAAAGGAATCTGTAAATGGATTTCTTTCCCAGGCAACTGTTGGAAAGAATTTTGAGGATTTGCCTTTATTCACCTACATCACTGATTAGATGCAAATCTTTCTTAGTGAGTTACGTCAGGTGTGTGGAATAAAAAATAGACACTATACCACAGATTGTGTCTGAAGTAGGAAGAATCAGAACCAGGCCAAGTGATGCCGGCTCATAATTGCAGCACTTGAAAGACTGGGGCTGGAGGGGTTACACTCAGACCAAAAAAAAAAAAAAAAAAAAAAAAAACTGTCTTAATAAAAGAAAAACAAGTAAAAGGATGTGATAGACAGTGCTTTTAAGTATTTGTTAAACCAAAATATTTCTTGAGCAACTGCTGTGTACTTCGCCATCCTTGAAGCATAATCTGACACATTTTGCCTTCATAGAGTCTGAGGTATGATGGTAAGTACTGCAGAGAGTAGGCATATAATATAATTTGGTTTGGGTGCTGAGAATGAACCCAAGCCCTTGCACATGCCAAGCAACCACTCTACAACCACTTGAGACCATAATACATTGTAATCATAGCTAGCTATAATGTTGCTTGGATTTATTTTCCTTAGCATATTTGATATGACTCTGCATGGGAAATTTTAACAAAAAAAAATTCTTCATGAAATCTTAATTTTTTGGTCTTTTGGAGACAGGGTCTCCTTGTAGCCCCAGCTCTCCTGGAACTTATGTAGACCAGAGTGGCCTTGAACTCACTGAGATCTGCCTGCCTCTGCCTCCCGAGTGCTGGGATTAAAGGCGTGCACCACCATGCCCAGCTAAATCTTAATTTTTAAAGATAATTTTACTAGTTGCATACAATCATTTTTAGAAAATCTTGTGAGGGATCAGTGAATTCTTTTGTTCATCATAGTATCTGGAAACATTGTGACTGTTGTTCCTTTTACCCTCCATCATAAACAATCCAATTTGGAATGGCTTACCCTATATTACCACAGTTATACATTGTTACTATTGTCTACATATTTATAATATGAGTACTTCAAGTTGAAGAAAACTAAAAGTCAATGGGAAAGAATATCTGATAATCTCTACTTAAGTTCTACAGGGCCGATAAGAATATTGATGAAGTGTCTATATACTTACTCATCTTTACATTCATGTATTACCTAGCTCAGTACTCTTGAAGAAGTAGTTTATAATAAATGCTTATGGGGGGGTCTGAATATACAGTATCAAGAGTGCATATTTCTTGTCAAAACTGAATTGCTTCTATGTCCCCAAAGTAGTGTAGGTTCTTAACACACATTGGAAACTGTATTGTGCTACAAGGTTTATTTTGATGTGGTGAATGTCAGAGAGAAAGAATACAAAGTTCTATTATGTAAAATATGACATTTGATTAGGAACAGTTTTATACGTTTCAGATACTTTTTATTATATATTGGTTCATGAGAACTGGAAGTTTGCATTTGAATTATTTTTTAAATCATGTGATGCTTTTAGAAGACAAGAAAAAAAACAACATGTTATATTGGGTTATATAGTTCTGCATAATAGTCTTGATTTTTAAAGTTTTCATCCATAAACAATTTCTTTTCGTATTAAAAAAATCACATGAAAGAAAGATTAGGTGTCTCTATCTTCTAAAGTTATGAGCTTTGTAAGAAAGTTTTTTAAATACTTGATGTCCTAGTTTGTTCTTCATTGCTGTGACAAAACACTCTGACCAGTACCAACTTGGGGAGGAAAGGGTTTATTTGTCTTACATCTCCCAGGTCGCACGCAGTTCATCAGGGAGCCCAAGGTAGGAACTCAGGGCAGGAACCTGGAGGCAGGAGCTGGAGCACAAGCCATGGAGGAACGCTGCTTACAGGCTTGCTCCCCTGGCCCCTGCTCAGCCTGCTTTCTTATGCAACACAGGCCCACCTGCCCAAGGGTGGCACCACCCACAGTGGGCTGGGCTCTCCCACATCACTCATCAAGAAGATGCCCCTCAGACATGGCCACAGGCCAGTCCAATAGAGGCAATTTCCTGATTGAGGCTCCCTCCACCCAGGTGTGTCAAGTTGACACTAAAGCTATCCAGCACACTTGATAACTGTGATTCAATTAATTCTATTTTGATAAATTCAGACTGTATTTGAAAAAAGTAACATAAGAATTAGAAATTATGTAGTGCTATAATTACAGTCATCTGAAATTTACCTGGAAAATACCCTTTGCCCTCCCAGAGGTCTTTTATATTTTTATATTTAACTTTCCATGAAGTATACACATCTGCATGTTATTGTGGGAAAAATCATTTCCAAAAATGCTGAAATTAAGTGAAATATTTGTTTGTTTGTTAGTTTGGTCAGTCCTCTTGTGTGTAACCCAAGCTAGCCTGGAATTCACTGTATAATACATACAAGCCCCAAACTCACTGAAGGTCTCCTGCCTCATAAACCTCTGTTTTTAATGCCTACAGTTATATACTGACCAAAGGAAATAAAAATTGTTAAATCCAAAATGAATTTTCCATTAAAAGTATACATGTATATGAATTATGTGCACATCTTATATATACTTGATTATAGAGCATATTTCTACTATGTTTAAAACATATTAAACACATTTAATATATTCATAATCTTTATAAAAAATCACAAACAATTAAAATGAGAGTTTCAAGTAACCCACAAAATCAAAAGTAGGACAGAGTCAAATTTGATTTTCTACATAAGAATTAAAATTTGAGTAATAAAGACACTCTTAGTTTTATGCCACAGATCATCAGCATGAATCAATTAATAGAGATAATTTTTTACCTTAAATTGGGCAAAAAGTAAATTAGAACTAGCAGAGCTGTTTCATGCTTTGTTATCTAGCTCTATGTTTAAAGTGCCTGAATACAGACGGTAGAATAGATAGAAAGGAAATTTCCTGGTTTAAAGTGACCCCTAAATTAATGCTAGTTTACCTTATGCATATTTCAAATTTTTTGACAGCAAACATTTCACATGAATAGTGTTCCTCTGGATTCAGTTCCTTGGCTTTAATCAATTAAACACAGAGCACATCCCTAATCTTCATCTCTAGATGAAGCATCAGCTCTTAGAGCATGTGTTTCAAATGTTAATAAAGTTTTCACTTCCAAAAGGTACAAAATGACAGAAGAAAAATTCTCTCCTTTAAGAGCACAAAAACAACTTGTGTTTCTGTCTGCAGGTAGTGGAGGACATGCTAGAGGACGAGGAAGAAGACGATGACAAAGATGACAAGGTAATTATCTTTCCCAGTACTTAGGTACCTGGGGATGGGAAATGTAGACATGACACTGTTTTCACAGACAGTTAAAAAAGGAATTGAAGTGTTTGAGTCCAGAAAATTGGACAGTGCTGTTTATCATCCTAACAATGCCACTGCATGTTGCAAAGAGGAAGAGATGGCTATAAATCCTCTTTGCTTTTGTCCAGAGCTGGGTCAAATATTTTTCTGCCAGGAAAAAAAAAAATCAGCTTGTCTGGAACTTGATAGCTCTTGTGAAGATAACAGCAGTGACAACTGTTTTTGAAGGACAAAAATTTGTCCTATCTTGAATGTTAGAAATCAGTCTATGCTTTGGGGGAAAAGGAATGAGAAAATAGTAGCCTGTGTGAGTTGGGCATGGATAATGCCATCTATAATTTTAAAAGAATTGCTCAGCAAAAGAACACGTGTGTGAAGTGCTCAGGAGGACATTTAAATAACCCACGTGCTCACTCGCTGCCCTTGCCTAGATTTGTAATGGCTCTGTGGCTCCTCCATCAGGAAGACTATTAGGAGGAACTTGCCTACCCACTGCTAGTTGGCTTGAGATTAGTGACCACAGTAAACAGTAGTTAGCTTCTGGGACTGTTTGGAACAGTTGTCCTGCAGGGAGAGGGGATGACCAGAGGAAAGAGTTAGAAGGGCCTTGCACCACTGCAGCAGTGGTTGGGCGAACAACTTTCCATGGCAAGGAAAATAGTAGCACTCTGACACTGTGATCTCTGGGCATTAGTAGGTGTCCTAAGGTGAGAGCAGGAAACAAGGGAGAGAATATTAATTATTTGCACATCGTTTGGCATATAAAAGCAGATTTTGATCTTCACCAGATACTGACTTCTGTTATAGTAAAGCAATGATTTCTTTTTGAAGAAAGGAGAAAAACAATGTATCTTTATTTGTGTCCTTGACCTTTGATTCTAGTAGAGATGTGCAGTTATATCCCGGTGCAAGAATTTGTGTTGGAAGCAAGCATTAGAAATGTCAAAAGGAAAAAAAAATCACACTGACTACTTCACCTCGCAAATGATCTTTTCTTTCTGACTAATATTCAGTGCTTGACAGGAAATGGAAACACACATGCTTGCTCCCTCTCCCTTCTCATGCGATTTCAAACATTTTCAAATTGATAGAGCGTTCATGTGAAAATTTTCTTCTGTACATCATTCAGTCATTAGCATCATGATCAAAAATAAACTAACCAAAATTTCCTGCCTGCAAAAAAACACATATGTGCTTGTTTTTAAAGTTAAATAGCACAAGCATACACTCCTGGCAATAAACGATATGATTTATTGTTAAGGTCAGTTGTGGAGCTGTGGAGAGCTTGTATTTTAACTCAACATGCCAGCTCTGAATCATCATTTCTCTGCTGATAAACACTGAGCTGCCATCCATTTATGGCCATTTTCCCTTGCTTGTTGCTGCTTTATTATTAAAGCTACCATAAAGATCCATCCCAGCAGCAGGCCTTTCCCCAGAAATGTTAATAAATGGAAACCCTCAGTGAAGTCTACTCTTTCAGTATCCCTGCTTGAAGTCAACCCATATATTTTTATCGAGTTTGTTGGTATTCTGTACCTTTTTATGCCTGTTTTTTAACAGAGAAGATGTTGGGCATAGGAAGACACTCCTGGTTAACCAGCTCACCAAAACATAGATGTCAGTGGAACACATCTGGGTAGGAACACCAAATCTCTGGAGCAGAATCTATAAATGACCGTGATTGGCCGTCTGAAATTGACACCTTGGTTCTAGCACATTTTCAGATCTAGTTACCAAAGTTGATTGAAAGTGAGTGCTTCAGTTACTGTGTGAATTCATCTGCGTTTGTCTAAACCTGATATGGACAAACAATGTGCTTTCCCTGGGAAGGGGGGTGGGGTGGGTTATGAGCTGAGTTTTTCATAACCCTGACCTTTATTTGAATGATACATAAGGAGGAGGTGTATTTTTTCTTTTTGACCGTAATGCAATTTATAGCATGAAAATGGCACCTGAATCCAAAAGAAAATCGTGTGTAGTGTCGAACAATAGACTTTTAAGTTCTATTAGAGTAGACATCTTGAAATGGAAAGGTTTTGCTATAAGAAATAGAATATGGAAGGTTCCTGCAAGTTTCCATCTACCAGCTCCTATCCCTTGACTGGCTCTCAGTAATATACATGTAAGTCTTAGCTATCAGGGTATCTGAATGGAAAAAGGGTAATTTCCTTCTTTAAAAAAATTCATTGGTTCCTCTATTTAAACTTTGTGTATAGAGTCATGCGTAATGGAATTTCACAAGAAAACAAATGTGGTTTTCACCATACGAGCAGGTACTGACCTCTAGCTCTCATTATTTCTGTTTTCTCATATGGTATAATAGTGGGGTCAGGTCAGTGAGCCCTCTTATAGGATAAAAGAAAAAAAGATTAATAAATGTGCCAAAGCCTCACTTTAATTGAACCTGAAGCATATGTTGCAAGTATGTAAAATATGTCCCAGATGTTTCACCAGGGCTGGTGTCTTGGCTTTCCCTGATTACCACAAGGCAGCTATTAGTCTTATAACCTTTGGACTTGGGGGTAAATGGGGTATTACGTGGCACAGAATGAGAGCACCTGTTTTCCATTCAGCAAAGACCCCTGGCAGGCTTTGCCTAAGCCCGGGCACATGTTTTCACTTAGCAGATTGTTGGGTGATTATGAAAAGTGTCTTTCTTTAGAGCAGCATTGATATTAGTCATTCACAATGAAAGGGCAAGTCATTGGCTACTTGACAAGGTCCGTGTGGGCATAAGTTGAAGTCCTTCATTTCGTTTGAGCTTGGAGTTCCCTCAGCATAATTATATACGTGGAAAAGATACAGGTATAAGAAGTTGAAGCAGATAAAGGTTATAATTACTCCACAGAATACTTTTGTAACAGCCTTTCTTTAATGCTAAATTGCATGTAGGAAGACTTTAGTTAAAGTTGGTCAAGTTAAATTGTGATTTACCTGGATGCCCAGATTTTGAGGTTTTTCCAGATTATGGCCTTCCAGGATTTTTTTTAAAGTTCTTCCTTTTTATTAAACAGGTTTATCATTATTCAACTGGGAATTGTGGCTACAGGCTTATCCTTCATTCTAAAACCCATTGTCCACATTTGCACAAATCTAAAATTAGGTGGCTTCATATTAATCCAATTCCATGGTTTTCACCAAGGCAGAAATGCAAGTTTTAAACAGTGAGCCTCAAATGCGAATCCCTGATATTTTTACTTATCTGCGCTGTGTAAGAGCACTGTGTTGCATAGTGCTGGAGATGACATTGTCTCCTGAATTAAATGTGAGACATCCTACAGTTTCTTTAGTTATATAGGGTCCTCTCAACCATCAGCTACAAAGCTCCAGTCTGATCTGATTTTGACCAACACCAAATCCTATATCTGTGATTAACAGAGCAAAATAAGATTTAACTAAATTACCTAGGTGGAACTATCAACAAGCATATAATAACGTTTTATACCATGTCATATATAATCAAACAGTGGCCAATCAGCATAATCTAGACAATCTAATTAATAAAGGTCAATCTTCTTTTGTAGTTTAAAAACTTTACGCATGGTTCCCATGTATAAGATCCAGCAGTATCAGGAAGCAGAAGACAGAAGGCAGGTTTCCCTCAGGAAAAGCATGAATTCAAATACATTACATTCCAGTAATGTTTATTGATAAAAGGTATTAAAGCATTCAGGCATTTATGCTTACATAGCTTCTCCTTTTTCTTCAACTGTTATGTCAAGGTTACTTGTTTCGAGATAATGAGATACAATGAATGAAACATATATACTTCAAAATATACAGATTGTTTGCTTTAATTCTTGAAATCTGTATTTTCTGGTTTGATTTTTCAGCCCAAACATGTATATAATTTACTCAAGATTCATACATCTCTGCATCTTAAATCAGCAGTGAGGGTAGAAAGAGATAATTCTAAGTGATATGAGAGAAGATTTTAATCTGACAAAATTACATTTTCCAGTTACATTCAGTGCAATAACTGCATGGTAGAGAAACCAATCAAGGCTGTAGGGAAAGGCAGAATGAGAAAAGACAAGGAAAATTCTTCTTTCAAAAATCCTAAAGCACATTCATCTCAAATATCATTGTGTTCCTTTATCCATTTTCTATGGCTATGTAATAAAGTACCACAAACTTAGAGGCATAAAACAAGTTGTTGGGGGTTTTTTTCAGCTGTCAGTTCAATAGTCAGAAATATAGGCACAACCAAATAGGTTCTCTACCCAAGGTCTCACTCTCACAGACTAGTCAGACTGAGCTATCATCTGCCATATTAGAGAAGACTCTACTTCCAGGGTGATTCAGGGTGTTGGTAGAATCCAGTTCCTTATAGTTGGAGGACTGAAGTCCTTGTTTTCTCATTGGCTTTCTGCTCCTAGTGACCCATCCTCTTTAAATATATCAATGGAGAATTTCTCCTGTATTCTCCCACACTTCAGCCCTGTTAATGGCTCATGTGATAACATCAGTCTCACCAAAGATAATTTCCCTTTCTTTTTTATTTTTAGTTTCTAAAATATTTTACTTTGATTTTATGTGTATGAGTATGTTGCCTGCATGTAAGTAAGTGCACCTGTGTCCTGCAATGCCCACGGAGGTCAGAAAAAGGCATCAGATTCCCCTGGAACTGGAACTACAGTCAATTGTTAGCCACTATGTGGGTGCTGGAAATCAAACCTAGGTCCTCTGCAAGAGCAGCCAGTGTTCTTAACCACTGAGCCATCTCTCAAGTCCCTAATTTCCCTTTCTTAAAAAAAACTGTGCCAGGAAATGCAACTTAATCACGGGAATGACTATCCCATCTTAGTCTTAAACCAACCCACACACAAGAAGAGGGGATTAAATGTGATACATAGAATAAGAGGTATGTGGCTTCCATCTTAGAATTCTGCCCATGGTAGCCATGTAGACCTGACCAGGCTCTATAGTGA